TTATCTTTATCACACTACTTGCGTTGCAGTAGAATAATCAATAAAGAGAGTGAGGAAATCTTGTGCTTTTTCCAAGCCTCATCTTGAAGAAACCAGTCTTTGTTACTAGGAGTGTCACTACTAATAATTTCAGTCATTTTTATACAATGGCTGTATTTCGTAGAGCAAGCTGGTATAATGGAGTGAAACAACTTTTATAATAAATCATACAAACAACTCTGCTTTTATTGAGTATTTTGTTTCATTAAGGTTCTGAGTATCACATACAGTTTATTTTAACACCGGGGAGTTATTAGAATTGTTTACTGAATGATAAAAAAAAATGTGACCATAGTTTAAGATCTGAACCCTAACCTGAGATCTACGACTGTGTGTTTTCGCAATAGTCAGCTCAACAGTTGGATGTATAATTCTGAAGGTCTTTACAACTGGTATAGCATCTACACAATAAGTGAAAATCACAAGTTATGAGTCATTTCTTTACAATGAAATAAATGAATAAACCTTCTGAAACCTGCTAATATTTGGAACTTAAGTATGATATCATCATCATCATCCAAGTGCAATAAGGACAAGATTTTATACAACTGCTTTATGTGGATTTTTTCTGCTTTTTCTTCTCTGCTTCTTCTTCTTTTTCCTTTTCAATCTCAGCCACCAGGGTCTCAATTTCCTTGGATTCCAAAATCTGCAAAGAACAAAATGCAAACCCATTAGCACTTTAGTGAACTAGTAGAAAAAATAAAGTAACATTTGCCTTGTTAATTACCTTCAGTGGCTGATTTCGTCTGATAACAGCAAGTTCAATATTTTTCCCTCCTGACTGGACAACCTGTGACCAGCAAACAAAAAATAAAGTGAATACTGTGACCAATTCAGGACACATTTACTACGCCTGCTAAGACCACACCCCCCCCCCCCATTGGAAAGCTATATAGAAGTTATAGTTTATTTGGCAGCAGTTTGTGCTCTTTGATGAAACCACGACTGTTTAATTTCACATCATAGAAGATGTAAATACACTGAGTTCAACATATATGGAAATGCAGAAACTAATCGTAACCTTACCTCAAGCAAAGCTTTGATGGCCAACTTGATTGCCTCATTGTCCCCAGCAATGGCTTCTTCTGTGTAATTCTTCTCCAAGAACTCTCTCACAGTTTTTGCGCTACGGCCGATTGCATTTGCCTGTTTTGTTGTTTTTCAAAAATACATTTTTTAAAAGTCATTTTCATACTTGTACAAGAAACCTTTTGGACACAGAAATCCTACTGACCTTCCAGGCATGGTACGTTCCTGACGGGTCCGTCTGATACAGCCTGGGAGTTCCATCGTAGTCAAAGCCAACAATTAATGCAGAGATGCCAAACGGCCTGCGACCATTGCTTTGAGTATAGCGCTACAAATACATTTAAAAAAATAAAAATTAAAAAATGAAAATGAAACGGCTAGCAACCATGGTGCAGTGCACAAATGCCTACTGAAAGGAATAGCTAACACATGCCTTTTTGAAGGTGTTAACAGTAAACGACTGCTCAGATGCTTCCATACCTGTTTCAGTGTAGCTATGTAGCGTGTGATGTATTCCACTGTGACTGGGTCCTCAACTGTTAGCCTGTGGCTCTGGCACTCAACACGAGCTCTGTTTATCACAATACGAGCATCTGCGGTCAAACCTATAAAACAATGAATGAGGCCATTTAACACATTACAAAGCTAAAACAAAAATATAAAAGCCAAGTACTAACACATGACACAGCTGTCTTCTACTATGCCATGTTAAATAATGAACACATTATTCAGTTATGGAAAGAAAAGTATTATCTGGGATACCTGCAAATGCCATGCAGACGTGCTCATCCAGTGCGCATATCTTGCGGACAGTCCTTTCCTCCTGTAACTTTGCAACAGATTTCTTCTCCACACCAAGGACAACAATGTCTTTACCTCTGATTCCCACCTGCATATATAAAAAAAGAAAAAAAGAAAACATTAATATTAATTTTCTCCCACAGGCTAGCAGTTGACGTGAGTAAATAGTATACAGCAAATATTCAGATTCCCAAATAAATCTACAAAGCGGATACCTCTGCATGTTTGATTTGGCAGAGTTTTAAGCTGCAAGGCTCCAAATAAGTTTATGTGTCCAGGTGTAAATGAAAAATTCCCCAATAAGTTGACTAAAGAAAGTAAGTACACAATGCAAAGTATATCAGAGGGACAGCTCAGGTTGAGGTTGAGGAGAGATAGTGAATACAGTGAACAAGGGAGCTGACTATGGAGCTGCCAGACAGGAGCAAATGAGGAAGAGCAAAAAGAAGATACATAAATGTAATGAAGGTGGACATGCAGAGGGTTGGCATGACAGAAGAGGATTCTTGGGATAGGGTGAGACAAAGGCAGATGATCTGCTGTGTTGACCCCTAAAGGGAGCAGCCAAAAGAGGAATTAGAAGAGAGTGATGACATTTTTCAGTTACAACTAGGGCTGCCACAAACGATTATTTTGATAGTCGACTAGTCACCGATTATTTTTGCGATTAGTCGACTAATCAGATCATCATCCATTGGACGTAAAACTACAGCTTATTGCACCAGCAGCATCTGCTCTTATATAACTATCATTAGCTTACAGCTTTAAGTGTTTAAGGTCTGTGCTAACTAAAAATAAAGACAAGATGATAGTTTATTAAATTTTAATGAAATTTGCAGATTGTTTCGGTGAAGTTTAATAAACTCCTTGCTATCTAAAATATAACAGGACACCGGAGTATATTCTGGAGCATCTCACACTTCTGATAATCAGTTGTCTGCTTGAAGTTTATTCAGCTGTGTAAAAACTATAACTTTAATCTCAGACAAACTGATTTACTCAGGAACAAATAAAATACAAAAAAAAAAGCCAAACAATAACATTTTAAGTTATCTAAGTGACTTATATATATTTTAACCTGAGTAGCGCAAGACGGCGGTGGGTTTGAAAACGATTTGCGGGGAGTCCGGTGTTCTCACGGCGCTAGTGAGCCTAGCCCCCGGCTCGCTAACGAGCTAGTGGGTAACAGATGTCTCCGAAAACGTCGGAGCGCTTTTGAAAATATGTGGTGTCCTGATAAACTGAGCAGATATGAGGTTTACACAGCTACATTCTCGCCTGAAAATATGTTAAACGTTTATTTTGTGACCCAGAAAGAATAATAAGAGTAACATTAAAACTAACTAGCTGCCGCCATTGTTGGAAACTGCGCTGGGCCGCGCTATGAATTCTGGGACACAGCTGCTCCTTCTTCTTCTTCTTCTTCGGGGTTTAGCGGTAGCTGACATCCTTGTACATGCAATGCTGCCATCTTCTGTTTCAGTCCGTTATTACACTCTTAAATCCTGCCACTTATTCCTGCGTCTTTTGTGATCTTACAAAGCTTCAAACGACGCGTCGACTATTAAATCAGTCGTCGACGATTTTGATAGTCGACGTAATCGTGACTAGTCGACAAATCGTGGCAGCCCTAGTTACAACCTCAGTAAAACCCAATTAAAAACTCTGCTCAGGTCACAGGTGTTTGGGTTTTTTATTTTTATGTGAGGTTTTTTCTGTGGTCCACCTGTCCAAAAAGGAGCCCTCTACAAAGTAATCAGTTATCATAGCCAAATTTACTCAACAACCCTGATTAGGACTTATTTAAGATTACTCCCAAACACTCTAAAGTTAGAATTTTTTTTTTTTGCATTTATTTTCATATAATAAATATAAACCGTTTGGTTTAGCCTTCATCGTTTCTCAGTGTCCTTTCTAAGCCACTATTATGACAGATGTTACCTGTAACCAGGGGAGCTGTGACTTAGTAGCTTTGTGAGTTTATAACCTTTGTCACTAAACCTTAACATAACTACCATTAGTTATGAGGCTACTACAGTGGCTTTTCGGTGATTTAGAGGGAGATATAATATGCTGAGTAAAATTCAACTTTCCAGACCAGGTAATAATCAATCATGGGTACTTGCAAACTCCTGTCAGTTAGTACCAACACAACGAAAATGAAAGTTAAGTGAAGAGTGACACAGCGACAAAATGCTAGCTAACGCTGACTGCTTTTTGTTTGCCATTTCCGGCATTAAAAATATGTATTACACATTAGCACGCCAACAAGCTCGTAAAATTGCAACAAAGCCTTTGTCCATAACAGAAGGTGTTAAGAAAGAAAACTGCTAAACACATAAAGGAAACCGCTAGCCGCGCGTTGATCGGCTAATCTAGCGTCACCCATGTTGCTATCGTTAGCTTTAGCATTAGTTTCATTTAAAGACTTACCGCTGTAGAACCTTTCTTTACAGCTTCCTGTGCATACTCCACTTGAAACAGATGACCATCGGGAGAAAAGACAGTAATAGCTCTGTCATATCTTGCCGCCATTGCACCGCAAGACGCGTATTATAGCAATAAACTGGAGAAAAGGCTACCAAATGATTCAGCTTGTTAGCAACAAGCGATTCACTCCGTGTGTTGAAAAGGGCGCCTGCGCATGACCTGTGAACTGAGACGATACCAAAAGTGGAGTCCACCCAGAGGGAACTTGTGATTAAAACATAATACTCTGTATAATTTTATTGGTTCTCCGAAAAACAGAAATCGTAAAAAGTAGAATATTACACTACGAGCATATACGGTATTTTAATATCAAGTTTCATTTACTTTATATATTGAGAGAGGTTCCTCCTTTGAATACGGATGCTATAAGAGTGAATAAGAGTACATAAATCCCAGGACTGATATTAGTTATTACTACCAAAATATATGCAATGTTATTTTTAATTAGATATATACACTAAACGCTCCGCTTTCCCCCTTTTTCTGGCAGTTTATTTTATATGGTCTTATGGTCTAGCTCTAGACTGTTCCATTATATGAAAAATAGGTGAAATTGTAATTTAATTAAGCCAAAATGTGTGTGATTTTAGCTATTTAAATAAATTTTCTTATATATTATGATTTATCTGATCTTAAGTTTTACATCAATTACTCATGTATGGTCAGAACAAGCAGAAATCAGTAACTATGAGTTAAAATGTGCTACTTCGTCCCCCAAAACGGACCACCGCATTACGAAATTGCATCGTATTCTCAACTGCTTGATCTGAGTTCTACCGATTTGTTCAGTGTGTTAGCTACTTTTAACTTTTATGCTGTAGCTTACGTTAATATTCTATAGTATCACCATGTCGGTGGCATTTGCACCTCACAGACAGCGTGGGAAGGGTGATATAACACCCGCTGGAATACAAAAGGTAATTCATCTATTTTAGCGCGTCGCAGAATGGAGGCTGTGGCATCAAACGCGGCTAGCCGTTGAGATAATCAATGTAGCAGTGCCCATCCAAGTCCAACTGTGAGCAGCTCAGGAACAATGTTACAGGGTCAGAGCGCGGTGAATATGAACCTCCCTGGAAACGGCACTCCACGTGTGGAGTACGAGTCTTGGGTGGATTTATCGGACTAACGTATAATTGTGTTTTAGGTTAATGGAGGCCTGTGGTTTTGTTAGCAAAGCACAGCTAGCTAGCAAGACGCGTCTTTTGTTGGCTAGAAACGCACACTCACATTTTACAAAACACGACCCTTCACTGTCTCAAAATTAAGACAGAATAACATTCGGCAAGTAAATTAATTGTCACGCCAAATGACCAAGTTCGTCTGCTTTATTATGAATATTTTGGGAAGTTATATTGAGTAACACACGTAATAGAAATATCTGAATTTACCATTGCAGTTACTTGATGAAAACAACCAGCTGATCCAGTGCATAATGGATTTCCAGAGTAAAGGCAAAACGGCTGAGTGTTCACAGTAAGTTATTTGAGTTATTAAGTTTTTTTATTTTTTTTATTTCACGTTATATTTATTTCAAGTTCCCATTCACTCAAACACTGCACTGTTCACTTGCCCAGGTATCAACAGATGCTGCACAGAAATTTAGTGTACTTGGCGACGATAGCAGACTCCAATCAGAACATGCAGTCTCTCCTCCCTGCTGTGAGTATGAATTCTTAGTGGTTGTTGTGAATGACTGAAATGTCTGACTGTCTTCTCTGTACCTGTCTTCTTCGATCATACCCAATTCAGGTCACTTGGGTGTTTTAGATAAATCATCAATGTTAAAGAAACATTTTTTTAATGAGATTAAGAATTTTGAACAAAGTCATGATTTTTTTTTTTCCCTGTCAGCAAAATTAAAATAAGTCTTTTGAAAACCCTCATTGTTATGGATGTTCAGTACAAACAGACTGCAGTATTTCTTTATGTATGAGTGCTATCTGTTGAGCTGTTGTAGCTGCCATTTAAGGATTTATTGCCAGTAGTGCTCATTCGCAAGGCTTCATTAAGTAGAATAAATATTTTGGGTGAACAAATTGAATCCTTTGCTGAGAAAATCTATTCATTTCTCAGTTTGGTTAAGCTCTCAGGCACTTGTTAGTAGTGTTTAATATTGATATTGTTTTTATTGGTAGTAGTAGTGTAATTATTGAGTCTGCTTATAGTTGGATTATCCATGCTCTTAATCATTTTGTAACAATTACCCATTTGAATAACAAGTAGGCTACAAGAGTCAAATATGTCAAAAACTAAAAGCACAATTTATTTTTTTCAAGTCATTAAATGTAATCTTGATTAACTCAAAGGAGTGTTTATCAACTAGAACATTTATTAAACCTCAAATAAAGGTGTGCTTTCCTTGACCTTTAAATATAACCGAATTCCAATAAAAGATGTAAATAGGTACATGGAGAGAGGGGGGAAAAAATGGTTGAAGTTAGCCCGAGAAAGCCCATCTCACAAGAGCAACTGCCAGTCACAGTGGATGCAGGCAAATGGGGATAAAGAGTCATCATTATATCTCGATTACCTTTGGAAGCCAAAACTTAATTCATATTAAAACTTGATCAATTACTCAGCCCTAAGGTTCCCAGCATCAACAAGCAACACTGTGTACAATGTGTCTGAACACAGTGTAGAAATGGCCCAAAAAAGGCTTTTATTTGCAGTTTATTTGGCGTGCTCATCTACGCAAAACAGTTGTCGGCATCGAATAAGAAGAATTGATAAGCTTGGAGGCATAGAATTTTATTAGACTTGATTAATTCCATTAAAATCTGTTATCGATTTTCAACTGGAACTATTCTTGCATTCCCATCCGTAGTTGCGAAGAAGCACAGTGGTTACAAAAGTGATTGAAGTCACTGATTTGCTAACAATCATATAGTAAAGGAGTGAGTGTATTCTTATGAGTAAATGTTGCTTACATACCTTAAACTCAGATGATGAGTGTGGGCACATTCATTTTCTTAATATGCTGCATGGTGAGCATGTTTCTGGAGGGGTTGTCAATGACTCAAACAGCTGAGATTAGGACCAGCTGTTTGAAAGAAATGCAGACTAGAGAACGGTTTTAATTGCTGCTTTTAAGCCATAAACCGTTTAAACTGCTGCATGCATAACAGTCTTAGTTCAGGCTAGTTTTTTAAGCCAGTTTTGTTCAGTTTGTTGCAACTTTGTCTATCTATGCATTTTTTTAATCATTGAAGGTTTCTAGCTGTTCCTTTTATTGAAAAACTTTTTTCCTTTCAGTGTATATTAATAGATTTTATTCTCCTTACATTAGTGTTCTACATGAATGCCGCAATCTCTGTATCAGAGTTATCATATTTTTTTCAGGAGTTTTTATCTCGAGTGGCTCAGGTTGAGATCTGTTTTCAGAGAGGTCATGTGGATTTATTTTTTTGTCTGTGTTGTGCACCTACAGCCGCCCACTCAAAATATGCCCATGGGTCCTGGTGGCATGAACCAAAGTGGCCCCCCTCCTCAGCCTCCTCACGGTCACAACATGCCCTCTGAGGGTATGGTCAGCGGCGGCCCTCCAGCCCCACATATGCAGAACCAGATGAATGGACAGATGCCTGGTATGTGTCCCCCCCCCTGCCTTGTCTTTCTTTTCTCTTTCTCCTTTTCCCTCAGTTCCTGTCTCACTTGGGTTGCCTAGCAACACCACAGAACTGTGAGGGAGGTCGCTCTAAGGTATTATAGGCAAACATGCTGAAGGATGATGTCACCCATTTGCCAGCTGTGGTGGTCTTGGGCTTGATTCTCCATCTGATTGTGGTTATCCTTCTCTGCTGAAGTAGCATAGTTCATGCATGCATCATTGTCTTTCTCCTGTTATTGATTGTTTTGTTTTTTTTGGGAGGGAGCATTTTCTTTTCTTTCTTTTCTTTTCTTTTCTCTTCTTTTCTTTTTTTTTTTTTTTAAGAAGAACTGAATTAACAATTTTATAAAACAAAATGTGCTGACGTCTGCACCACATGGTAATTAACTGAGGAAAAATGAAAGATATTTGACAAGCCCTGGTAGTACACATTGTGTTTCCCATGTTTCCCATCATGCAGTTCTTATTGTTACATAACAAAGGTAACATCATACACAGTTGGATCAGACATTAAACAGTCTTTAACCTGCCAGCTGCGTAGCACAAAATCTGGGTAATGTCCTGTTGTAGCCATTTGAAAATTTAGGTATTTGTCCTTTGCTATTCACAGCAAGTGTGTGGGCATCATGTGCCTTTGCCTCCTGCACACTCGGGCAGCAAACTATAAGTGGAGTATTTCTTGTTGTGTGCTAGATACGAGAAAATGCAACAGCGAACAATCCCCTGACCTGATCGTTCAGCACTATGTGCAGAAATGGAGTAGTCACACAACATAGAAAACACTCTATTATTGTTCTCCTTCGAATTGTGATATCTGGACCCCGTGTTTCATACATTGCTTAGAAGATCCAGTATTAACTGTGTGATCCAGGATCAACTGATCCTTGCTACTGTTATCCAGTTTGTTTGGTTATTCAAAGCTGCAAGAGACTTAGATTTGGCAGGCTGGAATGAATCCTTCAAGATGACTGCTCATTCTTGTTGTTATCGACAAGGGAAAAATATAGAGACAAGAAAACTATGATTGTCAACTCTGTGATGAAATTATTAGAAAAGTCATCTGGATGAAAATAGCATCAATAGTAACTTACAATTCTACTGGAAGTCTCAGAATATATATATATTTTTCTGTTACCTTTCAAAGCATCATGGAGATCTTCTTCTTATTTTTCAGGACCTAATCACATGCCCATGCAAGGTCCTGGTCCAGGCCCCAACCAGCCCCCGAACATGCCCAGTGGCTCTATGAATATGCCCCCCAGCAGCCACGGCTCCATGGGTGGCTACAATCACGCTGTCCCTTCCTCCCAGGGCATGCCATCTCAGAGCCAAATGAATATGACCCAAGGCCAACCCATGGGAAACTATGGGCCTCGTCCAAACATGAACATGCAGCCCAATCAAGGTAAAGCAGAAAACTTGTTATCTTCTACTCAATTGCATTAATTTCCAATTGCATTATTGTATAAAATCGCCCTTCTTTTCTTTTTAGTCATCGTGGACGTGAAATAGGTCTAAAAATACATTCACAAAAGAAAAGTCTTTAACATGTTGAAAATGGTTTTGCAGTGCCTTGTCATTTCTCTGACAGCTCATTTTTATTTTTTATTTTTTTGTTTACTTCAGGTCCAATGATGCACCAGCAGCCTCCCTCACAGCAATATAACATGCCTCCTGGTGGTGGTGGACAGCACTACCAAGGACAACAGAACCCAATGGGCATGATTGGCCAAGTCAACCAGGGGAATCATGTCATGGGGCAAAGGCCAATGCCGCCCTACAGACCCCCACAGCAAGGTATATTCTTTCGGAGTGTGTTTCTTATGTGTGCGAGTTGTGAGTGTTGGTCTTTCCTCTCCCTAACCCACCCTCCTGTATTTCTTACTCTCATTCCTCCCAGTTCCCTCTTATTTCCTCCACTGTTGCTCACAGAGATGTTGGCGACTAAAGATGTAACCTAGAGCCTCCCGCCTCTATAAAAATTAGTCAAGTGACCAAAAGAAAGCTTTCTACTAGGAACTAGTGGCAAGGAATCCATCCTCTTTACTCTTCCCCTCACACAACCAATCCAACAACACCTTGAATCTACTTGTGTGTATGTTGTGTGTATGTGTATGTAGGACCCCCTCAGCAGTATCCAGGGCAGGAAGACTACTATGGGGACCAGTACAGTCACGCAGGACAGGGAGCATCAGAAGGTAGGAGAACCTTCCAGCCGCTTGGAAACAAGGAAAAACAAAAACCTCAACAAATGAACCCAGGACTTGTGTTAAAACACAAATGATGCAAAGAGACTGTGACAAAGCAAACACTTCAGTTTCTTCATTATTTTCTGGGGAAATCAAAGTAAAAAAACAAAGGTGCTGCTGTCCATTGATAAATCAGGATCTAAGCAGTCATACAGTTCTTGTAATGCTGACTCCGCTTATTCGTGAACGGGTCTCTTCGAGTTGGGGTGAAAGAAAAGTCAGGGACAGTCTTATTTGAGGCGTCACGGTAAAGTTGTGCAGAAGTAGCCTGATATCATGCTACTGCACTTTTTTGGTGCAGTAGCTGATAAGTACATATGTGTTTATATATATTTTCTATTTGAGCACTCAAGAGTTTTCCTCATTTACCCATTCACATACTCGCATTACAATAGATGCTATGGGGGAAACTTATGAATCACTATGTTGCCCAAGGATACTTCAACATGTAGATTAGAGGATCGAACTGCCAACTTTGCGATTTACCTCCTGAACCACAGCCACCTTATTCATATTTATAAGCACTTGTAGGTGTGCCTCTGTCCACTTCACGTAAAGCAGACTGACATTTGAAATCAAAAACTGTGGGGTTTGTTTAAGAGCCGCAGTAGCGACACTGAAGTCTTCAAATGTTTTTTTTTTTTAAAGTATGGCACCTTTGCATTCTTGTCAAAATATAACGGCTCATGTGCAGTAGATTTTCTTGTTGTTGGTGTATTTAGGGATAGTATTAATTGCATAAGCAAACACACTTTTAAGATTACCTACTAAAATGTAGCTTTTTTTTCTTTTCTTTTTTTTTCTTCAATTAACATTTACCTTTTTTTTTTCTCCTTTTGTTTTGATTTTCCCTCTTTCTACACTGTTTCTCTTTTGACCTTTCAAACACAAGTGATTTGCTTTGGGATTTTTCTTTTTGTTTGTTTGTTTTTCTTTTTAGTCGTTTTAATGGCAAAAATGAGGAAAAATATGTATGTTAAAAATGTGCTGCTATTAAATATGATTGTGTATGTTTGAAATTCACAATAATGACCTGTTACCTCTTTTTCCTATCTTAGAAGAAATTATTAATATGTAAACTTGTACTTTATTTTTATATTCGTACTTATTCATACAAAACTGATGTTAGACTTCATACTTCACACAAATCTGATATGGTGGCTGGACACTGACTTCTGACCCTGACACTCCCTACTACAGCCGTAGTGTAGCAGTAGTGTCTGAGTTTTATTTCCTCTATAAGAGCACTGGCACATATCATACTCTTACAAATCAAATTCATCTCTTCATTGGATAGTAAGATATTTTATTCACAGTCTTCCTTGCTTTTGTGCTGTAGTCAATAACATGTTGCTCACATTCGCTGCTGCCCCCTTCCCCCTCAAAGGTAATGCTCAATATGGCCAGCAGCAGGAGGCATACCAGCAAGGCCCACCTCAGCAACAGGGATATCCTCCTCAGCAGCAGTACCCAGGTCAACAGGGCTATCCACCCCAACAACAGGGATATGGTGAGTTACGGCAAAAATTTTATTTCCCCTGTAGGAGGCGCTATAAGCCCTCTTTGGGTGCCTTATAGCCGTTGAAAAAACATTGTTCCTTTATACACTGTTGCTTGATGTAACTAAGCTTTGTGCATATCAAGATATCATTTTGAGCAGAGAGTTGAACGACACAACCGTTCTTAATGATTACAGTTACTTAATTTTAGTAGTGCTGTGTAATATCATGTTAGCAAATTATACATGATAATAGAAACTGTCTGAAAAATAATTGAAAGTAGAAACATTCATGTTTTACAACAATACCTGGAAATAAATTAGTCAAAAAATGTTTTCCTTGCACTTTCAGTGTAGCTCTTGCAGCTTTTAGGCTTTTCTTTCCTCATCCCATTTTTCTCTGCAACTTTCCATCACTCACCCTCTGTCTGAGCCAGAGCTCATGCAAGTAATGAGCTACTGGAGACGCAGAGGTTGTGAGGTGAGATCCATCTGGCACATACACATGCCTGCTCTCTCAGGCCCCCACAAGGTTATGCTCAACAGCATAAGGCATTATGAGCGCCTAATGATGTTGCGTGGGCCTCATTTGACTTCAACTCCAGTCAGACTTTGCCCAGTCCTTCACAACATCTGTACAGGAGCATATATAACATAATAATATAATATATACACAACCTTTTTTTTCCCCCCTGCTTTTTTTCCTGTCTTTCTGGGGTTTTTTTTTTTTTTTTTAAATGATGCTTGCTCCTCTAATGAAGACCAACAGAATCTCTTTGATGTCTCCTTGCATTAGGGAACCACTGCCTGTCTCCAGCCTGACTCACTCGCTCTCATTCATTACTGAGTCAGGCGTGGTGGAGGCAGCCGTAACAAATGGGTCTGACAGATCCGCTATTCTTTTTGTCATCCATCACTTTTTTTTTTATTGCAGCCCACTAGTTAATGTAAACTAACAGGTATTTCCCAAAGTTTTCAGAATAACAAGTCCAAAGCATAAGAAAAATGGAAATGAGTTTGGCAGAATCAGAGCCGGATTAGGACTTCAAGTATAAACCTGTTTTTGATGCTGCACCTTAACACTTCAGTAACACTGGTTGACAGTCAGTTTTTATAGAATTTTCCTGCACTGCATGCTTCAGTGCTTCAACCTAAATTAGTTTTTTTTTTTGTTCCATATCCTTTCTTCTTCTTTTTAATAAACTGTGTTCATAATAAACTACACTGTGTGGAAGCATTTCATTTCTCTGTTAACAGTGCCCAGCAATCAAAGAGTTTTGGGTTCACTCAAGGCTGACAAGCATAAAAAGTTCTCCATTTATTAATGTGTTTGTTTGTAGGTCCCTCCCAAAGTGCCCCAGGACAGTATCCTAACTATCCTCAAGGGCAGGGACAGCAGTATGGGGGCTATCGCCCTCCACAACCCGGTCCCCCACAGGGCCAACAGCAGCGCCCTTATGGTTATGACCAGGTGAGTATAACCCCAACAATGGACAGTGACAGAGGCTTGTCTGTACATTGCACTTAGGCTTTCTCTTACTGTGTTTATTGCCATGCTAAGTTGTATGTTATATATAACTCTCAGTTAGACCAGTAATTAATGTAAGTGAAGTACGATGGTAAAAATTAAGCAGTAGTACGTTATGCATGCTGTCATCATATTCGGTGGTTAAATGTGTTCTTCCTAAAAGGGTTTTCTATGTTAATATTGTTGTGTTCTGGCTAATGTGGTATGCCATTCCAGTGAAATATGAGGGCTTTAAAGAAGATTCTTCCTTAAACTTGATGCAGACTGCTCTAGTGTTTAAAGGAAGATCTGTTTGTTGCCCTGTATTTCCTGTGGTCTTATGTGGGGACCACAGCTACACTTTGATATCTTTATCTTTGAATATTCAGGGGCACATGAGGAAATAAAGACCCGGGGATTTGAACCCCTGACTAGCTCTGTAAGAAGCAAAGGTAATGGTTGCTGTGAAGACCTCAACGTCCAATCTAGACGCTTGACCACCTAGCCTTAATTTGCATTTGTTTTGTTTCTTCTGTCTCTCGTCTGTCTTTCTTTACCCATCTTTTCTTTTTCTTAAATTTTTCCTTTTCTATTTTTTTTTTCTTTTTTTTATTAACCAGGGGTCGAATTGTAAAGATATGAGGTCCAGAAACACAGCATTCTTAGATTGTAATAAGACAGACAGGAGCTCACATTCTCTGACTGTCCTTAATCTCTACAATGTATGACACTGGTCTTCATAACCAGTGTGTTTGTTGGATTTAAATTTTATCTTTCAAATCATTGTTTCCAAATTTGCTTCCATTGCATTTTCCATTAAAGTCAAACACATACTTCGACCCCTGTGTAGGAATAAAGAGAATACTGCTGTTCTTCCACTGAATTTGTCTCACTTGAAAATTAGTGTCCACTGTTTAATAAGGATTATCGTCCTCAGCCATGCTGCTGCTGAAACCTGAGGTAAAAAGTTCGAATTTAGAGCTCACAGGTTGTGAGGTTATGCTGCCATCTGCTGGTCAAAACCAGTCAGTGCAGGCATAAATCACGGTTTGCAGTATGATATGGTTGAAACCACAGATTTTTGTCTGCACCTTATTGAGATTTGTGAACATAAACTTCTGATTTTTTTTATTTTTTTATTTATTTTTGTTTGTTTGTTTGTTTTGAAAAGGTCAGTATCACGAGGATGTTGCATTTCTCTCCACAGGGCCAGTATGGAAATTACCAGCAATGAGAAGTGATCACAGCAACCAACACAGCTCTGCTCTGATCTCTAAGCTCTGACCTCTGGTCAGTTACGAAGCAGACTTTAATGATGGTTTTAATCTCTCGGACACAAACACACAATGCTCAAAAATACAAGATACAGTTTCCCCTCTCTTTGGGATTTTATCTTTGCTGATAAGATGTAGTCATGTTTATCATATTTGCTGACATTACGTCAAAGTCAGCGAGTCACCTCTGGTCCAGTATGTCTCAAAGCAGCAATGCCTTAAAAATGGAACTGCCTTATCCTTTAGCATTGCAGATTGTGAAATGGGCTAACAAAATTTTGGATAACACATGATGTAAATGTACAGTTTGAATCTACGTGGTGCATTGTTTCTCGATCCTTCAGCTCCCCGATCATCAGAAGCAATAATGCCAGCAGTAGGTAATTGTGTGGGGGACAGGGAAAGATGAAATGGTGCACCAAGTGAACTTCCAGCTAGGCCATGGTACATGTCTTGATGTATGTGATGATGTAAAAATATATTTTATGCTTTTTAGATCAAGCTAACTTTGTATAAGACATTGGAAACTAGTACTAAAGCTGTGTTGTTAATTTCATCAAGTGTATGTGTCAATGTTTTTGTTTCTTTGGTTTTTTTTAATGCTCTTTAAGATCCCATCCAGCACATTTCCTTTAATTGTGGAACAATTAAATTAAATCTGCAACATCAGCAGCGCGAACACCGAAATATAAGAACAGGGATTTTTTTTGACATACACAGTAATTCATCAGTAAACAAATATGAACATCATACTTATCAGAAATCTGGTGTATTCTGCGAGTTCTTTAGATTTTTTTTTTTTTTTCTCTTAAAAAAGTGGGTGAGTAATTTTTTTTTTTTTTCCCAAACCCACAGTACTTGACAGAATAATGGTTGTTGGCCTCTATTTCATAAATGCGCCCGAAGAGGTAATATGTAGCAGATGCCACTGAAAATTGTGAGTAAATGCTCTCTGGAGCCCTGTTTTTATTTTTTACTTTTTCTATACATGCACCTCAGTCTTGTCCATTGACTGCAAATTAGTGGATGGGGAAAGAATCCAACTCGGTATTACAAATATATCTGGCAAGTACTTCATTTGTTAGTTGATAACGTTAGTTTGTTCACAGTGCTGGAAACCCTCCTCCCCTTTGAATAAACGTCTAAGTTGATGCCATTCAAATAGTGTTGTGTGTGAATAAATGATTGTTACTGTCAAATATGTAACATAAGATGTGAAAATAATGTTCTGAAATCGATTCCTTAATTTCACAGTAAAGACTGGTTGTGCAGTTTTATATTACTGGCTTGATATCTGTATTATGGTGCATATTTTATTGATTCCCACGTGTACAGCGACATAAAAAGAGGAATTCAGTGTCCTCCTGGTATTGTTTATATGGTTGTTTTAATATTTTTCATTCTGCACCCCATTTAAGTGGTGGTCACATTTGTGTCATGGCAATGTATAACTGTACATTATAATAAATCGGAAGAATCTTTAATATATTTTGCCGTGTGTAATTTATAGATATTGACAGTTTATCAAGAGACTGTTTATGACACCAGAAACATTCATCCTGAACAGCATAAACAAGATGTGCACTATTGGTGCTGTCATAATGTGACAGTATGATATAATTGTTTTGTCTTCATCTGCTATCTGGTAGTCAGTTTCCAACTGATAATGACCCTGCCCTGCTCAGCAGCGTGTCTGCTTTGTCCAGATGCATCCAGAGAGGTCCAGACCACATTTACACCCAAAATTACCTTCCGTGTCCCTCTTTCCCCTTCTGCTCCCTCCAGAGAGGGAGAGGGACTACCTGTCACATTGGGGGGAGTGATACAGATGGTACACCAGATGTGTGGCCAAAGCACGTGATGGGAGAGCGGTGCGGTATTAAGAGCGCTGCGGACTGCTTGGGATGCCTTAGTGCTGATGAAATGTGTGTTTGGATTAATGAGTGCAGCAGAAGTGCTTTAAGAAAAGAAGCGAGAAAGAACTTTTTTTTTTTTGCAGTGCGCCTGTTTTTATTTTTGCTTTATGTGCTTGTGTGAACATTTGTGTATCCCTGCTCAGGTTTAGTGGTGTCGCCTAGTCACCCCACCACCCTGCTGCTCCACAGCTGGCTGCCCCACCCTTCCCAGCTGCCACTGGGGCTCCCCCTGGCCCCTCTGCTTGGCAGAGCTGGCGTTTTGGGCGCTCCCCCACCAGTCCTCCCTGGCAGCTGCTGCCCTCAGCTGCGCTCTTGCAGACGGTATTGGGGTCGGACAAAGTCACTCCTCCTGTGACTGTGTCTCGGGCCGTCGTGGGAGGATGAAGAGGTGGCAAGGAGACTCTTGCTTCCTATAAAAGCTTTGCTTTTTAGGCTCTCGTGGATGCTTGAGGGTTGGAAATACATTCGACAAGCTTAACATTCGAAAAATCCACCTGTTTTTCCATTGAAGAAAAGAAGATGTCTTTGGCTGTGCAGATCTAAATAAGTTATCAAGAAAGCTTGCAGGAGAGCATTACACCATGCATGTTCTGTGATGGCAAATAGTGAAGTGGCAGCATCATTTAAGAGGATGATTATCTTGTTCAATATTTTGATAATTATAATTCAGGGCACCTTTCAGAGGAGGCTCCTAACCACTGAGGAGAAAATGACATCGTGATCATAGCTGGCAGGCAAGATGTGATCTCTCTCTCTTTCTCTCTCCCCCCCGTCTCCACACTAGCTCTCCTTTTCACTCTCTCATACCCACACTCTCAGTGTGACAGAAAGTCTATGGGGAGGTATAAGAGGTAGTTATGGGGGGAATGCAGCAGCCTCCACAGTTTAATTGGAGATGTGTCACACTAAATAAATGGTGCAAAAACAAGCCCTGACTGGAGGCTTGAGGGAGGGGCCCTGGGGATGCAGCCTGTTTTATTGGGCAGGAGCTTTGCACCGCTCCAGGGTGAAACGGGGCTATGCACTGCTGAGATACCCTCCAACCACCAAACCACCAGGCCTCCCAAAGACTACTGTGGAGGAAAAGACAAAGGCATCCATTTCTCTCTTGCAGGGGAGAAAAGAAAAAAAATTGGTGCTGAGGAGAAGGTGTGGGTGAGTATGGTGACCCGATTGTTTCTCGTCCAAACGGGAGCACATCATAGTCCTCATTCAGTTTCTGAACGCCGGCAAACAAATCCATAACTGAAAAGTCTTGAGTAAGCGCTGTCTGCCTCACTTACTCCTAGATCTTATATATGTCAATTTATGTTTTGAGGAGAAGGCAGCCAACAGCCTCCAGCTAATCCCATTTCCCTGTGTAATCCATAAATGACCTCCAAGTTAGCAGAAGAATGTGTTTTCCGATATTCCATCAATGTTGATATAACTGTTGGACCGCTTTGCTTGTACAGTGCGTGTCTGTTTGTGTGTGCGTGCATTTGCACCTCGGATTGCAGAGTTCACGGCACGAGTTTTGATTTACTTCTACAGTGTGCTGCGGTAATTGGATGTGACACCATTCTCTCTGCTCTCCCTGGGGGATATAACAGAAATCTGACTATTATGGCCCCAGTCATGAATATGTCAGGAAAGCTGCAAACAAAAGGCCCGCGATTTGGATAAGACTCCTTTGTATGTTGTCTCTGCACTGATGTATGAGATAAATGCTGCAAGAGTAAATGAGTTTTCCGTAGAGCAATTTGCTGTGTTTACAAAGAAAGATTAATTGTCATTGTTTAGAAGAAATCATAAATATGGTCGAGACAACGTTTAGTATCGCATTATGCCTGCCAGATACACGCTCGCTTCACGCATATTTGTGTAAGCTATTATATCTAGTTTCAAAACAACTGAAAAGATTTTTTGGACCTGACGATACACAAACAGGGTGATCCCCTAGAAAGACATTGTTTTGCATGCATTTGATGTGCAGAGCTTCGCTTAAATCCCATCGTTTGTTGAGGGTTTAGCTATCAAATCAAATTGAGTGTGCTGTTTTGTATGTGTTCTAGCCTCAAAAAAGTAGTCTCTGGGTAAAATAGCAGGTATGCTGATATTAGTATTCCCACAGCCTGCATAATTGCTGTAATTTGCTTTCCCTTTGGGTAATCTGTAAACATGGCTGTTTTGATGTTTTTGGCATCCTCCATTGGCTGAGCTCTCAACTCCTCCAGTGGAGCCCCCATCCCGGCCCAGGGTGACACAAATAGATCCTTCCCCAGAAGGTGCACGTAGTTCCACATGGGCACAATCAATACAACCCAGTCATCGCTGGAACTGTGGCGGTATTAAAAGCACCCCGTGAGCTGGTTCTCACCATGCCGGCATTTTAGGGAAATAAAGCTATTGATCCTCCAGGGCTTCTGGCAGAGCATTAACCTGGGCCTACAAATTAGAACGTGCTCATCTGGACACATCTGCCTGCAATGTTCCAAAAAAGCCAGTCCCAGGGAGAGAAAAGGAGAGCTGTGAAGCCTGCTGCTTCCAGTGATGAGAAGAGCGCTACTTGACGCCCATGTCAGAGCGGGGGAGGCATCTGGATGCCCAGGACTTCCATTAGAGGCCCAGGATGGTGGCATGGGTCGATGTGGTAAGGTTTTGTTGGGGGTACTCCATCTCAGATCAGTGTGGTTTCTTCTCCCTGTTGTAGGAAGAGGGGGGTTGACCCACAGTAATCCCGAGCTCCTGACTGGAAGGACAATAAGGTAAAGGGCTGCTGCTAATACTGTTTCTTCCAGCAGTGTTGAAGACCTTGCCTTTTTCCCCCTGCTTTTGAATACACTTTATGAAAACCGGACTGTATCTATCACTGTCACTATTCACAAAAATATTCAGTAGAACTTCATATCTCCGTTTTCAGATTATATATTTATTTGTCTGCAAAAACACTTCCCAACATGGAGATCACGAGGCTGTATCAGCCGCTGATTCAAATGTATCACTTGCTCGAATGTCATACAGGTCAGTAATTATTTTTGAGTGGGAGATTAGACTCTGTGTATTAACACACACATTTTCAATACTTCTACTCAGACTTTATTCTAACCATTTTCCTCTGGAATGTAACCCACCTATATGAGATGTGACACCAGTCTAACCCCTTCTTTAACACATAATAGGGTTTAATTGTGAATTCTATATAATACATTTTACATTTAAATGTCTTGCAGACTAGAGGTATTCTGTGCACAACAGGCTTTTGCTTGATTATTGTTTACTGAACAAGAGAACTGATGATATCCCTTTTAACAACGCATTTCACTGGTAATGCTCAAACAGATCGAGACACTTTGGAAACTCTCCCTTTTTTCTCAGCCTGCCCTAACAGTGGGAAGCTTGGAAGTTCTCTGCCCCAGTTCTCCATGTCCTTGAGAGTTGTGCCTTCAGGCCGGGGCTGGTGGGGTCCCGCAGTGCACAATGTGTGCTTCTCACTCAGGCTCCCGCTGTACTCCGCAGCCCCTGCATGGCTCTGGAGAGTTGCCAAGCTCTGAGGGGATGTCCGTGTGAGGTGGGGGCGTGCGCACGTTAGCACAGAACTACTCTAAACATCTCACTTCCTTTTTCCCCATGACAGTCGACCGGATATAAATCACTTTGC